AACATCTTGTCCAGGCTTCTTTGCATGTAGTTTGGAGTCTCTGAGGGTTCAGTCTCTAGTAGGGCTTAGGGTTTAGGGTTGACTCGAACTTATAACGGTAACCACGGCTGTGCTTTCGGCGCAGGATCTTGGTTCATTTAAAGGGGAACGGAACATGTCAAACGTAGCAAAAGGAGCTCTGTGATGTGTATACTACACGCACGCATGTATATATATATACACACACACACACACGCACCCACACACACACACACACACACATGTATATATATATATATATTTCTTTTTATACGTACAGATCACTCCAGAATGAAACGTCTCGCCCCGAAGAGAACCGAGGCTTCAGACGTTTAGCTTTTGGCCTGTGGGCATTCGGTCCCGTGCCCTAGGGGTCCAAAGGACCCAGTGATTCAGAAATCGGGTTTGGGATAGTAGTAATGAGGTCGGTGGTTCGGAGAGTATTTGATTACAAGGTGCTTGGACCCGTAGGGTTGCCTGCCAAGAATGGGCTTGCGGTTTAGGGTTGCGGGCTAAAGGCTTAGGATTCAGAGTGTTTGGGGTCTTAGCTTGGGGCTTTCCTCAGGATGCTGCCCGCATTGCGAGCTTGGCAAGGGCACTTACAGTTTACGAAAGACTACCTTGGCTTCAAAGGCTTCTGTGTGTTTCTGAAAAAGGTCTTCTTTCGAGGTGAGAAATCGATTTCCGCGCTTAACACTTCTAAGAAGACTTCGGCCGAGCTTTTCAGAACGCACCGTTCAGCGCTCGTGGTTTCAATTTCCGACCCAGCAGGGCCGGTGCCCCTGTATCCATTCGTATATTTATTTCTTCATCCATGTATCTATCTAACTATCTATCGACCACTCTAAATGAATCTGGCTAACTAGCTAACTAACTGTCTATCTGCCTATCTAGCTTTATCAGCTTTTCTTCTTTACATGCTAAGTCTCTGAACCTTGGTATTATACACGTGCACGTACATGCAAGTAAACGGGCAAACAAACCAACAAATCATACATGACCTACATGAAGCAATACATACATACGTCATGTAAATAAGAAGATATGTAGATATATACACGTACACAAAAACAATCACGTAGAGTTTTTAGAAGATATTCAAACTCGCCCCTTCAATGTTTGCCATCAGCAATTTTCGATGACATCAAGGCTGCCAAGAACCAGCTTTCGAAGCCCGAAATGCTGAGAGCGGCACGGACATCCGTAGAGGAAAGGAGAACTGGATCAACATAGTCCTAGCGACGGATAGGAGATCCCTGGATGTTGCAGCGTGGACAATGATACCTGGGATGCTTTGCAAGGCATGCCTTTTGAACATGGAGACCGTCATCTATGCTCTGTGTGTGTGAGAACCTGAGAAATCCGCGTACCCGGAATGAACATGCATAATGTATGTACCACATGCCAAGAGAGAGAGAGAGAGAGATATACATATATATGTATATGTATATATGCGATATACAAACTGAGAGACATAGGTGCATAAAGACCGCAACGGATCAGATCCTCGTCTAAGCCGCCCCAAACAAATATCCCTGCCTAAGAAGCTCCCCGAAGGCCATAAGGTACCAGGCTCCTAAAGACAGATCACACCCGCACATCACTGAGGCGGTCCTTCGCAATCTCCACACGATCTTTCATGTGGCGAGGTATCTGTGGCAGGAAGTGCTACCCCCAAATCTGTAAACCTCTGGCCCCAGACCCTAGACCCTTAAGCTCTCAATCACAACACCTTGCTTCACGAGGGGCTCGACTACTGCCCTTGATTCCGCCCTGAATTTTACTCGTCGAACCTACCCTGCTTTGAATCAGAATCATAACCAAAAAGACGTCTGCAGTTGGGGCTGCTGTGGTACATGCGCTTGTTCAACGGTGTACATACGGGTATGAGATTATACCTTAAACTACCATAACCTGCTTTCTTATAGGTTCTTAAAAAAACTATAAACCCCAAAATGACTTTAGAAGGACCCTGCGAAAAGTAGGTGTTGGTCGATTGAGGTAAACCCACTTCGATGTCGGCACTTCAGGCTTCGAGGATTTTTTATCTGTACTGAAAGAAACATGAGACTCAAAAACTAGGGTTATCAGGGGTTCCTGCTAAGGGTTGAATGAGATTCTGTAACGGTTTTTGTTTTCTGTAACGGGGTTCCCTTAAGGGTTTAGGGCCTACTTAAAGGTTCTTGAGAGTTAAGAAGGCAGCGGTACTGCCAAATCTTGTAACACTTATAACCACAATTGGGGTACTTATAGCTGTAGTTACCAAGTCCCGATGAGTCTGCAAGTAGAAAATCGTTCGGCCTGAGTGTGTGCTACATGCCACGTAGAAACTGTTCGTAAGAAGCCGTCATTGGAGCCAAACCACCCCCGAACCCTGAACCCTACGCCCTAAACCCTGAGCCCCGAAGCCCCTAAACCTCAAACCCAACACCCCAGTCAAACGCAGGCCTGGAAAAGCCCTCGACTTCGATGTGTTGGTTTGGGGTTCCAGGCAAGTTCAGGGCTTCCCTTTGGGTTTTTGGGTCTTCGGTGAGTTGCGGCTCCACTTCAGTGTCTTGTATTCTGTGTTTGGGTTTCGGGTAACTTTCCGGGCACCAGTTCGGGTTTAGGGTTTAGGGTTTAGGGTTTAGGGTTTCGGGTTTAGGCCTTCGATTTGGGGATCCGCAGGGCAGTGGCTTGCCTGTACATCTGCGCCACCATGACCACGTGGGAACACAAGAAAGTGAATTCCTGGCATAAGCAGAGCGCCAGCCGCTAGACTCTCTGTCGAAAACCAGAGTAGGCCGTATAACCCTTTAGAATATATATATATATATATATATATAATATGTATATATATATATATGTGTGTGTGTGTGTTGTCTACAGCTTACAACAAAAGGCCTGTACTTCAACCCCACCCAAATTGGATATATATATATATACACACATATATATATATATATAATTATATGTATATATGTGTTTGCATATGTATATGTCTACGTGTATGTATATGTATATCTGTTATATATATATATACACATAAAGCTCTCTCTCTCTATCTATATATATATATATAAACAAAAGTCCAACAACAGCAAAACAAGATGTAAGTTATCAAGGAAAAGCAATACGTACTTCTAATTAAAACCTGAGCCCTACAAAACACCCAATTTTCGGGTCGTGCATTATTTTATCCTTAAAGAAGTCCTGAAGAGATTCGTTATTTGGGGTTAGTTGCCTGTAAGCCGAGAATTTCAGGGCTGAGTGGGGCCCTAAACGAAAAGATCCAGGCAGCTCCAACCTAAAACCACCAACCACCAAGCCCATCTAAACACTAAAACCCTGCACCTCTAAGCCCTCAATTTTTACGCTGTGTTCGGCTTTCTTTTCTGTGTTAACTGAGAAGTTTAAGGTAAATTGCGATGCGCCCACATACCGTGCTAGCCTCTAAGGCTCCAGGGAGCAAATCAACCGGTTGCCTCGTCTCCCGAGGAGAAGACCCCGGAAGCCCAAGGGCCAGAAGGGTCCAAACAGACTCAAAGACCTCATAGTTGCGGTTTAGGGCTTAGGGTTTTGCAAGATTTAGGGTTTTCTTTATAACCTGGAGAACCCTTTGTCCTATAATTCTTGCCCGTGCAAGGTTTTCGCTCATCTAGTTTCAGGGATTGTGGTTTGGTACGTTTCCAGAAAGAAACGCTCGATAAACATAAAAGCGCTCGTTAAGAACGAATGCTCTGATGTCCCAGCTAATGTTCATGATGTATGCCATCGAGATCTTGATCAATGAAAGAGCCGCGCTCTCAGCTGTTTTTCCTCATTTGCGGCTTTCTGCTGCTTGCTTCGCGAGCTGCACTTTGTACGCTCCGAGAGCCTTCTGCATGCAACGGTATGCACAACTCAGAGCATGCGTCCCACTTCTCCTCGCCAAGCGTGCTGTTCTGCCGATAAAGTCTTCATCACCCCAACACGCTTGGTCTTAGTTGATCATATGCATGCCCCTAAGACGTACTGCAACAGAGGGTTGCAACATGTCAATTGCAGCGATGTGGCTGAGAGGATTAATAGCCTTCTGGTCACGTCGTGCAGCTTCTAGAACTGGAATCCTTGATTTGTCAAGGTATGGATCCCACCAGTCATGATTAAAACATAAGTTTGCGAGCGAGCCACATGAAGTGAGCCTGCATATGAAGCTTTGGCCTCATACGGAACAACTTCCAGGTCGTTGTCTCGTGGCAGCGGCGGGCGAGCAGAATGTATCCAGTCTGCATGAGATGAGCTTGGGGTCATTGGCTTCGGATTGGGCGGTAACTGTGCATATTATATAATCCAGCCAGGATGCACACATCTCGTGTCCAGCTTCAGCAACCAGCCTGCTGGTCGCAGGTTCCAACCAGAGCCCTGCATGATGAAGCAGCCGAAAATATCGGTTAGCACAGCCAACTGTGTACTTCAGCATCGCCAGGAGGTCTTCAGAGCAGTCCTTGCAGGTTTAGGGTTCGGAATTTGGGGTTATATACTTCAGGGTCAAGGGGGTTAGGGTGTACGATGTTTAAGGTTTCATGACACAGAGGTTATATGCACGGGCTCCTTCCTTGACAAAAGGTTCTCCAGCCATGAAGTCAAAATGGCTGTGTCAGCACCTTTGCCACCTGTGGCTGAAGGAAAATCCCGAGACCTTGCATGGACAGAAACACAACCGATCATTATAATACGTCCTTTGATTTAAGAGTAAAAGCCGATGCTAAACACATCTCAGGATCTTGCCCATTTTGAAACCAGACAATGAGAAGCCTCGAACATTGGTAGATTTCTTGGTAGCACTGCACCACTGGATGAAGTCAGCATAAGCTTGGACAAGGCGAGCTTGCAAAGACCGCCCACGAAACAATCCCAGGTGGCACACCAGAACAACTCCGGAAGCAGCAAAATCCCGGCCACACCTCCAGCGGCTACACCAGCAAAACTGAGGGGTTATTATATTATAAATAATCGATCCTTCAACTGTACTTGCTGCCTCCCAGTGACCCAATGTGCCACGTATGGGCCGGATCGACCAAAGCACGCTCCGGAGCTCCCAGCCCAGGCACTGTGAACAAGGGCGATCGATCGACCTTGAATGGAGTCGGGCCCCCACCTTCAGAGCGCCACGGTGCATCCATTGCGAGGTTGAACCATTCCTTAATTGATCAATTTGGGTGTATCGGAGGGCCTGCGTGTCAGCTAGGATTATCTTGCCCGTACTTCTACCGTACTATACGATGCGTGCACATGTCTATACATGCAGTCCAGAAGCGTTGCTGGTGCACAAGTGGCACTTGCGCTGGCATTGCCAGCCGGTCTTCAAAGTCATCGCCTTGGAAATTGTAGTGCACGTGTGATACTCGCCATGTAATCATGCACATGGCACAACATGGGGTTCCCACCTTCCGCAAGTAGACCCAGTCCCCCTTGACCCCCACCACGCAAAAGTAGATGGTTGTAGGTCCCAGAGGAGAGTCGACCTCAGCCCATTGCCACAAAGCAGATTATATGTATTTCACTATATTAATTAATTTGTTGCCTCCCAGCCCATACTAATTTAAACATGTATAATATAAGCAACCCCAGGCCCTAAACTATATAAGATCGACTACAAGTTGTAGCGGGACTAATTTGAAACTAGCAGCAGTAAGACCGTTGTTGTACAAATCACAAAGGTCTGCAGCGAAAGCCCCGTTGAGCTTATCCAGAGTGGCATCCTTCCAGTATAGTTCAGCTGGCACGACAGTGTAGAGGAATCGAGTACAGTAGCTGTGCCTGCGCCGGGTTAAGGGATAACCATGTGTATACGTAGGATCATATGATATATGGTACTGTACGTGCACACTTTCCGACTTTAGGGTTTCGGTTGTTATGGGTTTTGGGGATGTGCGCTTAGAACAACACAAAACAAGCCGCTCATATGCTGGATTGAGTGGCCCGCTGCTGTTCTTGAACGACATACCTTTGAAAGATATGCAGGGCTGGATGCCTTCCACCATAATGGGAAGCTTGTATTTCCCTCGTCCTTCATCACCATGAGTGTATAGTGGAATTGTGTGACTCGCCGGCGGGTTATTCGGCCCGCTCATGATATGCAAAGGGTCATAGCCACTGTGCAACGCCCAAAATTCTGAAAGCATGGTTTGCCACCTCGCAGTATGCTTGATATGGATTCCACCTAAGACCAGGTAGCTCCGCTCTCGCAGCAGAAACTTCATCCAACTGCTTGGATATATCACGGGGTAGGCAATGTCCACTTTCTTGAGAACAGGACGTCTCCGTCGGACTGGAACAGTCACAAAGTTGATGCTCACTGGCACTGTCATATTCTCACGATGTATGAGCCGATGAAGGTTTCGACACGTGTTCGTAGAACTACGACCAGCAGCTGAAAGCTTGAAGAGTAGGTCCATTTGTCCTAGATCTCGATCACTGCAGTTCGTACATATTAAATCCGAGCCATGGCCAAACAACTATTGCAGCTTGGTGTCGTATGCCACCACCGATCTTGCACATCAGTGTTGCAGTGTCCGTTGTCCCTTTGGCAGATTCTGCCTGGTCGAATAGCTAGATATAATCACATGGTGGTGCAAACCCCTGCTGGCTAGTGCAGCTTCGGAACTCCATTGAAATATTTCGATAAGAGTTGAGCCGCAGCTTCTTGATCGAGGTTGTGATCTTCTTCTTGTTGCCGGGAAGAGCGCCCGCCTGAGAGCAGAATCGACTATTAATGGGATTGGGGTAGACCGAGGCTAATATAAATTTTAAAGTAAATTAGGCCGAGACTCCATCCACCAAGAGATTGAGGGTTGGGTCATTGGCACCACCAGAACCTGGCATGCAGGAATAGGATTGATCATGAACAAACGCTCACCCTCGCTCCGGCGTGGACAACCCAAAGCAGTGGCAACCGTCGGGTTGGATAGGTAGCGCCCGCCGTCCTGTTTTTTTTTGCATCCGGGGCCCAGATCTCAGAAGGCATCCATGAATTTGCCCGCATGACCATTAAGGTATGCAAGGGTAGCTATCGAAATTGGAATAGCTTGCACGTGCATATGCACACATGCATGCACTTAAGAAACATCGGTGGACACATGTGGCAAGGCCCGCACTGGATTGATCTAGCATAACCCGCCGTGCCCAACAGCATCTCGAAATTAAGTTAATTGTTTACAATATATAGTACCAAATAGCAGGCATGCAGCCACTGCTGTGGCCATCAAACGAAACTCAGGAGCGCTTCTTTTTGGCGGAGCTCTTAGCAGAAGCAGGCGAGCCCTTCCTCTTCCCACCAGATTTCGGGGCGCTCTTGGGGGCTGGATCTTTCTTCTTCGGTGGCGGCTTTGTATGGGACCTGGCAAGATGGATCGTGCCACAGACACTGCACATGCCAGCAGACACATCATATGCATGCATTGATCGACACACGCCTCGCTCGCACCATCATTGCATTGATCGCCAAGTCTAGCCGGGTGCATTGGGCGTAGCACGCTAGGAGCTTTTGCTTCGTCTCCCTCAGTGTGCACATAATTAGTGGTAATAGTTCGAACAACGTGCGTGCTTGCAATGATATGACTCTCGAGCTGTGATATCCAAGCATCCGGGAGGGTGGCGTGCCAGCATCAAGCACTGCATCCTCCTGAAACTTCAGCAACATTTTGTTGTCGAGCTCATCAACTTTGGGCTTCAGGTCTCCAGCAATCCTGGGTTCAGCGATTCATCCAGCCAGGTAGGATCCGAAATAAAAGGGCATGCGTGCATTATTGGCACAGGTGTGGGCTATATTCAGTAGAGAAGCTCGATAGCCCTCTTGCCTGCATTTTTATAGAGCTTGTCCTGCCAGGCACTACAAGCACAGTTTGCATGCGTCGATACTACACAACATGAGTAGCTCCTTCAGATCATTCCCCTTGTCCACCTTCTTGCCAGTCATTTCGATGTACACAGCGAGCACACCTTGGAACCACAGCTGGTGCAAATTAAAATAGGACACTAGACGACATCGCAATATATTATAACTAGCGTGCCAAGTTACTGAAAACATCCTGGTTGGCCTACAGCACAGGGAGGCACTTCTCCCGAGCTGAGCTGGCAGTTGAAGCCAGCTGGGCTCGGGCATGATCAACATCCGTTCGGCTTGCAGCATTAGTCCTTAGCAGTATATATATATATATATATGGATCCGAACTATATAAACCAAGCACAGCCCAGCATGCTAAATGTACTCTGTGGCTCTGCAAGGCGGATGTCTCCGTCACTGTGTTCATCAGCAAGCTACCACTGGCATCCTGACCGAAAAGGTTATGGGGCTTATATAGTTTAAGGCTTGGCCGGGTTTATTAGGGGATGTGGGAAACATATGGCGGCATGGGTTTGTGGGGTTTACAGGATTTGGGGTTTCAGGACTTGCTTTTTGGCTGCTTTTGGTGACTTAGGAGGCTTTCAGGTTTATATACATAATAGTTATAGGGGCCGATATGTGCATAGATTATAATTTATGAATAGCTGGGCTACGGGCCTCTGGGCTTATAGCAGAGGTCGGATGAGATCATGGATGAGGGTTGTAATTAAGCATGCATGCATGTATGCAATGCACAACATTCAGCCAGGGAGTATGGTGCTTAGTTTGGGTCCTGTTTCGTTTTGAGATTCCACCTAGTGCGCTTTAAAGTTTGGGGCCCGCAGCGAGATTAGCTTATAGGGCTTCCGGTGTTGGGCAGAAGTGTAGCATGGCTTTCTGGGTTTTGCAGGAGTCTATACTTATAAGTTGAACAATGCAAAAGAATTCGTTCCATTAAACATGCATATTATACCCTGCAACAATCCTCACACCTGCAAGCCTATTATATATATATATATAATATACACCCACAGACCTGAAATATAACCATGAAGATAGACTTTGGCTAGCCCCTTATTCCAAACATATTATATATATATATATATATATTTAGCAACACCACCTGCTAACAGTAAGAGACCCAGGAGCCCACACATTAATGGAAAACCTAAGCCCAAATATTAGTTCATGATGCAGAACCCCAACCTAGCCCTGAGTGCATGCATATAACCAGCCTCGCACTCGAAGGAGCCAGATTGCTTTACAGATTGGCTCTCGCTGTTCCTGAAGAGGTATTCCTCCTTCGTGGGGGTTTTGTATTCTTCAGCTCCATGAACCTCGTTGGTTCTCACCAATCCTCTCGCCGTAGCCCAGCACTTTGAGTTTTCAATCATGGTCCTTAGATATCATCTATAGTGCTGCAGAACTATCACCATGCACATGCACGAGGACATTAGTCAAGCAACGTTGTGTATCCTATAGCAGCCATGCTGAGTTCAGTCTCCCACCCTCCCTTCTTGTCATTTTGTGCAAGCTGTTCGGAGATCTTCACCAGCTCCACTTCAACCGCCTTGAATGTTCCATGCTGCAAAAGCAGCTCTCGAAGTCGTTCCCCTCAGATTGCAGCTCACCGAAGCACTTCAATACTATACTGTCCGACAACATGACCTTTAAGTGAAAGCGTCTTTGCGTAGTGTCCTTGAACATTCGCATCGCTTCCTCTGAGCATTTAAGCTCACCCTTCTTGTTGGGCTTGAAGTAGCGGTTCATCCTGAGCTTGCATGCACTGCTTAGCACACCCATGCACCATGTATAGCACACCATGCATCACACATGTGCACATGCAGTGTAGCATCTTCCAATATGTACCATCTTCATACATCGAGACAGTAGAGCTCGTAGACGGGGCTGGGGAAGGTGGCACTGCTGGAGCTGGATTTCTCACTGTGGGGGTCGTAGTGGACTCCCGTGCCGTCGGAGTGATCGGGGCACTCTTTGTCCTGCGGGGTCCCCTGCCAAGCTTGCCTCTAACTGGCGTAGCAACCACACGAAGCTGCTGGGCTGGTGCGGATGGCTTGGGGTTGGCCTCTGTTCGAACCCTCTGCGGAAGCCCTGGCACAAAAGCACCTTGGATCACAGCCTCGTGAACACCACCTGGTTCAGGTCCTGCGAATGCACAGTCATATGGTGTATATATATATATATATGATATGATATTATTAATATATATATATATACATATGATATATATATATATATATATATATTATGTGTATATATATATATATACATATCATGCGTGTATATATATATATATACACATATGTATTTATTCGATTGCTTATGTATTTATTT